TTCTCTTCCCCCAGGGCAATTAGGCTTTGATAATACTCCAGTAAATTAGGCTCTGGTTAACTAGTTTCCCCTGAGGGCAGACCTTGTTAGGAAAAGAATGATCTAGGCATTTCAAAATGTTTTCTGCTCCTCCAATTGAAAACATAGGGGATTTTTCTCAGATTTTACTGTAGGAACCTGGTCAAGCTGCTGCAGGTAAATCTCGTAATATTGAGGAGACCCGCCTCCATCCCTAGATGGCCCTGGAGGTTTTCAGTTTTAGAGTTGTGTGCAGTAAGATTCCAGTAATTTGTCAGTTACAGTTCAGGTTTCCTGTATGATTACTGGTTCCAAAATGGTTTCTGCTCTTGAGTCTTTGCTGCTAAGTCTTGTTTCCTTTATTCATCCGTCTGTCTCTCCAATCTCAGGAGTATGAGTTTGCCCAGAGTCCTCCTGTGGATCTCATGGATCCAGAAGAGTTGATTTTTCAGTCTGTTCAGCTTTGTGTTGTTACGTTGGAGTGGTAACCTCAGGCTCCTTACTTGTGGAACAAAAAAGATTATTCTTTTTGATTGCTAAGTAACATTCTTTTGTACGGAAATACTATAATTTGTTTATCCATTCACCTGTAATGTTTGGTTTGTTTCCAGGTTTTTTGCTATTGTCCATAAATTTCTATATACCTTCATATACAACGTTTTAAAGATCTATTTATTTATTTGAGAGGGGGGAGGGGCAGAGGGAGAGAATATTCGAGGGGACTCCCCAACTGAGCTTGGAGCCCAACCTGGGGTGGGGGTGGGGGGCTAGATCTCACAACCCATGAGGTCATGACCTGAACCAAAACCAAAAGTCGGACACTCAACTGACCTGAACCACCCGGGTTTTAGATGAGCACATACTTTCATTCCTCTTTTATAAATATCTGGGAGCAGACCAGATTATATTGTAGATGTATTTTTATGATTTAAGAATCTGCCAATCCTATTCCTGCTGTAACAATTTAGCACAAACTGAGTGGCTTACCCCAACATAGATGTATCTATTGCATATCTAGAGGTGAAAGTCTAAAGTTAAGTTGTCCAAGGGGCTATGCTCCATCTGGAGACTCTTAGGAGAATCCACAGGTTTCTTTTTTTTTTTTTTTTTTTTTTAGCTTCTAGGCTTCTTGCATTCTGGCTACTGCCCTCTTGATCAAGACACTCTGACCTCTTCTTTGATCTTATCTACTGCTCTTGACCCTGATCCTCCTGCCTTCCTCTTACAAGGATCCTTATGATTACAACGATCCCACCTGAATAATCAGAGGACTCTGCTGAATCTCTACAACCTTGCAGTTACTACCATCTGCAAAGTCCCTTTCACCTTACAAAGTAATATATTCACAGGTTCCACAGGTTTCAGGGATTAGAATGTGAATATCTTTGAGGGGCCATTATTCAACCTACCACTTTGTCTGCCAAGGACATTGTACTATTTTATATTCCCATCAGTAGTGTAGAATAGTTCTACTTTCTCCACATCCTCACTAACACTTGTTAATAGTTAATCATTTTAGTTTGCTTTTCTTAAATAATGAACAATGTTGGATATATTTTCATGTACTTTTTGTTTTCTATGTTTTTAGGTAAAGTATCAGTTCAGCTTTTTTCCCCATTTATTTATTGGGCTTTGTGCTTTTTATTCTTGGATTTTGAGCATTCTTCGTATATTCTAGATATGCCTATAGTCAATTATGATTTGCAATCTGTTATTAAATATTTCTGGCTTTTTCCCCCTAAAATATACTTTAGACATATTTTAATGATCTTAAATCAGTATTAATAATGAATTTTATCATGTTCAACCTCATCATGTTGTACATGTTAAACATGTACAACTTTTTGCATCTCAATCATACCTCAAGAAAGTGGTTTAAAAATAAAAATAATATAGCAACAAAAACATGAAAATATTAGTGTTATATTTCACAAAAAATGAGCAATATTTGTATACTGAAATCTAGAAAACATTACTGAAATGAACTCATCAATATAGAGATATACAGGGTTTATAGGTCAGAAGAATCATGTTGCTATGATGTCTGTTTTCCCCAAGTTCATCTAAAGATTCAATGCAATCCCCATCAAAATCCCCACAGGCTTTTATATAAAAATTTCAAGGTAATTGTGATTTTTTAAAGATTTTATTTATTTAGTTGCAAGAGAGAGAGCATGAGTGTGGGCATGGGCAGAGGGTGAGGGAGAAGCAGACTTCTGGTGAGCAGGGATCCCAGAGTGGGGCTTGATCCCAGGACCCCAAGATGATAACCCAAGCCAAAGACAGACGTTCAACTGTTTAACTGACTGAGCCACCCAGGTGCCCTCAGGTAATTACAAAATTTAAATATAAAAGGCAAAACAACTAAAATAACAAGTACACACACACACACACACACACACACACACACACACACATTAAAAGAGGGGCAAATTTGAAGCACTAACATTATCTGATTTCAAGATTTATAAATTACAGTAATTTGTGTGGCTCAGTCAGTTGAGTTTCTGCCTTAGGCTCAGGTCATGATCCCAGGGCCCCATCAGGCTCCTTGGTCACTGGGGAGCCTGCTTCTCCCTCTCCCTCAGCTGCTTCCCCTGCTTGTGCTCTCTCTCACAGGTAAATAAATAAAATCTTTAAAAAAACAAATTACAGTAATCAAGATAGTATGCTATTGATATAAAGTTGGGCAAATAGATGAATGTAATGAACTAGAGAGCCTAAAAATAGACCCACACATACGTAGACATACTGATTTTTGACTAAAGCACAGAGGCGATTCAGTGGAGAAAGAATGGACTTTTCAACAAATGGAGCCTCCAGTAACTGGATATTCATAAACCAAACGAAGAACTTCAATTCATATCTCACACCATATACAAAACTTGATTTAAGTTGGATCATAGACTTAAATGTAGCAACTAAGACTATAAAACTTTGAAAAGAGAACATAAAAGATAAATTTTCTTGACCGTAAGTTAGGCAAAAATTTTAGATATGGGACCCAAAGCCCAATGTACTAAAGAAAAAAAGTTCATAAATCAAAATAATCAAAATTAAAAACTGTTGCTTTTTAAAATTTTACTTAATCTTGTTATTGTTTGAAATGGCTTTATCAAATGATACTTATGTATAATATATTTTAAACATATTTTAATGATATTAAATCAGTATTAAATAATGCATTTCATGATAGACCCTTCAGGCATTCAAAGATAGAAACTAGAGCAATGATGAAAAAAAAGATCCCATTCCTATGGGGAACTCCAATTATTTACCTACAGCTTTTATAAGTAGCCTCTCCACCTACTCCTTCCCCAAAATGTTGGTGCTTAAGCTTTTAAAATTATAGATAATGTTATAATTGCATTAAGAATGTTCACTAGTATATCATATAGTTGTTGAGATTTTTTTTTTTAATGAATAAAAGAGAGATGAGAATGATTGTTGCCTCAATAAATGTTAAAGCTTTGACAGAAAAGAGTAGGTAGTCTGAATGACACACTTTCTTCTAACTCTTAGGAACAGTGTATGTTTCTGGAGAATACCATCTATCATGCCCCGTTACATAAAAAGACAGAGATTGCTTTGGCAAATGTTCCTCTTACTTAGAATCCAATCAATTTAAGTTTCTGTAAAGTCAGTGCTTCGTAATGTAAAATCATTTTATGTATCAGATAATTTCTATACTCAAAGTGTAGCACGACATGTCGTTGCTTTAATAGTTTACATCTGTCCTGTTGAATGTTCCCCATGCTGTCAAGAGCTCCACTGTCATTTAATACACTCAAGGGAAATACTGCTTCACCATTTATCTTATTTGTAAAAGCATGTTTGCATTAACCTTTAAATCTTCTTAATAAAACAAAACCAAAAAAAGTAAACAGATTGCTTACAGATCATCGTGGATGAGAGCATAAATGTCAGTGCCTATTCTGAATCCTTAGAATATGTTGCCATGTTAGAGAAGAGGAATTCAAGCCTTTTGGTCCCCAAACCACTTTTTTATAACAAATATTTTATCATGTGCTGAAATAAAATTCATGCCCAACAGAAAACAAACAAAAACAATCTACAAAGAAGATTTTGAAATAAAAGTAATATTGTTAGGATTGACAATAATGTAAATGAAGAATAAAATAACTATGATTTCAAAATGTGTGTTTCCATACATAATATAGAGGTATAGCCATATAGAAAAGGGGATGGTACTTAGATTTTTGAGTCAACTTATAGTGTATTCATTCATTCAATTCAAATGCTTATTGATCATCTTTATGCAAGAGTCTGTTGAAGACACTTATTACAGTAGCAAAACAACCCATGTGATTATAGCAGGGAGACAGAATATATCCCCAATCAATAAATAAAGCACTTGTAGTATATTCCTGTATATGGAATATGAGGTGAGGTTTCAAGAAATTCTTGAAGGAGGCAGGAAATAGAAATACAGTAGCAAAATAAAACCAAATAAAATCACATGCCCCTACCTCTACCTCCAAACTTTCTCCCTCACCCCTGTCTAAAAAAAAATAAATAAATATATAAAAATTTAAATACCCTTGCATTGCACAACAGATGCATGTTTTCTATAGTTTTTTTTAAGTCACTATTTTGTTTTCAGTGTTTTAATTTATGTAAAGTTACTCTGAAAAAATTGGCATGCAAAATTAACATCTCCACTTTATATTGGTATTATAATTCCTGAAAACAGTTATGACAAAAGACAAAATAAATGAAAGTATAATATGTCCCTTCCTTAGAATTTGCTTGAAAGAAGTTATTTACTGTTATCTTTTCTTAAATTTAAGATGATACTAGACAAGTAACATCTCCCAAAAACTACTCAGTATTTTATATAAAAGAGGGAAAGTAAATATTTTGGTTGCTATTAGTTAATCTTTATCACTTTAAGGTTGAAGTGACAGGTAACATTCAAAATGTTGTTCACTGACTTTTTTTATTTGTTTGTTTGTTTGAAGCTTTTGGAAACATGTCCAAAACGTTGATGAGATGTTGGAAACCAGTTGAAACACAGTAAAATTCAACCCAATAAAATAAGACTGCTTTCTCTTCATCCACGTTGGAAATTTTCAAGAAGTGAACTATGACAATATATCAATTTTTGGTACTATTTCTACTCTGGGTATGCCTGCCACATTTCTGTTCTCCAGAGATAATGTTCAGAAGGACTCCTGTGCCCCAGAAAAGAATTTTAAGTGCACGGGTACCTAGGAGTGATGGCAAACTTCTGCATCGTCAAAAACGTGGTTGGATGTGGAATCAATTTTTCTTACTGGAGGAATATACAGGATCTGATTATCAATATGTGGGCAAGGTAAGTCTGCATTGAAATGGCAAATATTTAAATTCTTTTTTATTATGTCTTAGGAAAATTTGAGGGTTTTAAGATCATCATTCTCATGAATTTGATTCTCTAATCCTCAAGTAATTATTGTTTATAGAATAGAAATTATAATTTGAGAAACTATAGGATACATAAATATAGCATGCTAGAATTAATTCTGTCCATTTCCTTATGGACTAAAGAAGTACTAAATATTGCACTTTTAGAATTTGTAGTTAGATATAAATGATAGTGAGAAAACTATATGTCGATGTAGCCATTTAAAATGACTATATTTCACACTGCTCTTGATTTCAGCGAGGAAGAAAAGACATTTAGGAATTGTTTAATATTCTACAGAATGAAAAAGCAAATGTCATTAAAAGTATGACCAATGCCCCCCAAAATAGCTTTTTTATAAGGAAACTTATTTCAGATATGAGTGTTATTTATTTTTCTCAGGTGTCACTATGGGCACATTTATATAAAGGAAAAATAAGTAGAAGACAAGCAGGTAGAAGTAGCTTACTTATTGTGATATGTGCACAGAGACAAGTTTTCATCTTATTCAATTATAAAAATTAGTGAGGAAAATTAGTTGTGGTTGGGAGTGGAATGAAAAGTTACAATGGATGCTTCTATATACTACATTGTATTCATTTTCAGTTTTCTTTTTTGGCTCTCTCTGAATGTCCTAGAAGTTAGATAGTGTCTTAAGAAAGAATTCATGTTCATAGTCATGGTTACTTTTATTGACCATATGAAAATATATCAAAGAAGACAGAAAAATACACTAGCAAAATGAAATCAAATACAGTCACATGTTAACACATCATTTATTAACACTGTAAAAGTATGATCTATTACCATGATGGAGAACTTTGTATTAACCTAAACTTTAATGGCTTTGCTCAAATAATTAAAATTGTGCTAAAAGTTTTTATCCTCTAAGAAAAACTACTTTTAAACTATTTTTTAAAACAATTTTGAAAGTATTTTTCATTGATTTTAAAACACTTGGATATGTTTTTTCATGTTCTAATTATTTCAGTCCTTTTTAAATGTCTGGCAATATGACAAAGATGACATTAAAGGTTAAATGTTACATTAACTAGAAGGAGAAGGAAAAGCACCAGCAATGTGACAATCTTATGAGAAAGGCCATCATAGCCAGACTTATCACAGGTCACATCTGACAGGATGCCTAAAATGAGAGGGTTAAGGTACATTTTATGGTTGCTATGATAGGCAACTTTAAGTTTATGAAAACAATAATGTGAAAATGTAGTAACATAAATCTAGACCAAAGAAGCTATAAAGTAAATAGTTTCCTTTGGTTCTTCCTGAACATAGGACTCATATTTGCATGTGTTTTCCATCATCCAGTTCATTTTCATGAGGATTTAGTAAGTGTTGATAAATTACCATTACATTATACACTCTCACATGACAGTCAGGTGACTTATGTCCTTTCATTTCTTCTCTCCCAGAAGAATGTCAACACCTTGAGATCAAAGACCTCATACTTCATACTTTACTTCATACTTCACTTTCTCTCTAGCTCTTTGAGTAGAGCTTAATATTTAGTTGGTTGAATTGATCTGAGTTGCACTGAATTGAATTCCCAGGATCATATGGTACTACTTGGCTCTTCGTTGGGGAAAACTAGTCTAGAATTTAAATCCCTGTGGGCAATTAAAGCTGGCAAATACTTGAGATATATGCATCTTGATACACAACCCAAATTTTATTCTTCCATGCTCTGCTGATAAAAGCAAGTTAAAAACCTTAATTTAGATATAAACATACAGATCTGTATATGTAAAAAAGGCAATGTATAATACTTTAATAAACATACATTAAAATGAATATAAAAAATTCAATTCCCCTAAATATTCTTTCTAACAGTACTTATAATACATTTATTATATATTCATTCTTTCTTTCAGAAATTTCACTGCCAGTTTTTACTACCTTTAAAGTAGGAATGTAATACTAATGCTAAAGTGATTCAGTGTCTAACTAGGTTCGTTTAGATGTAGTAGTAATGCATGTTCTAATTACTTGACATATGGGAAGACGATAGACACCCTTTTGTAGTGGGGAATATTTGAGGAACTCAGAATAAGAAGAGAGAAGAATTATACTGATGGAGTGAAGACAAGACTGAAAGCACATATGTGAAAAGAGAGAACATTTTTTTAAATACTAAACAATCTGGGGCACCTGGGTGGCTCAGTCAGTTAAGCATCTGCCTTTGGCTCAGGCTCAGGTAGGTCATGATCCCAGGGTCCTGGGATCAAGCCCCACATCAGGATCCCTGCACAACAGGGATCCTGCTTCTCCCTCTCCTACTCCCCCTGCTTGTGCACACACTTTCTTTCTCTCTGTCAAATAAATAAGTAATCTTAAAAAAAAATATATAATTTGACAACCAAATCCTATAAAGAATGGATGGCATATAATTTCTCATGTAAAAGCCCATTACTACTTAAGGGGTTAAAACAGGGAAAAACTAATTGTTTTTCCCTGGGTAAAAGCAGAGGGAAGCTTAGGAAAAGCATGTAACCAACAGTCAGAGGAACTGAGATGTAACCTCATTTCTACCACTGTTTGTCTCAGAGCGATTAAGAAACCAAGCCAACCAAAAATGAACTCAAAGCATTTCATCGTTCAGCTTTCAATGATCAAAATTTTCCTCTACATCATTCAGTCAAATGCCCTTTAAACCAAAATATATTTGTTATAAGTATTTTTACTTTTTATTTTCAGTGAGATAATCACAAAATTGTCTTTACCTTCCATAGCAAGGGGTTTAAAACTTGAACTTCAAGTAATCTACTTCGTGTACTATATTGCTTTCAGTTTGCAACCTTCTATAGTTGTATTGCTGTTTTCCAACTTAATATTTGAAAAACATTGTGATTATAAATTATTTTTATTAGTTTAAGCACAACTTATAATCACAGCTTCTTATGGTCTGATTCAGTTGCACTGGACAAATAATTTTGAATCTCTGGTTTCTAAATATTCAAATAAAATAAATAATGACATGAAACTAGATACTCTTGAATTTACTTTAAGCTGTAACAGATATATAGTTTTAGGAGAAATACTAATTTTATTTACTGCAAAAATTTTGTCTGCATTTTATATAATTATTCTTAAATGGAGAAGAGAATGTTAAAATTAGATTTTTAATCAAAACCAGATACAGAGAAAAATCCCCAAACACCAAAAATTTAATAACGTACTTGGGTAACAATAAACCTGATTCTGAGTCAGCATAGTTAGTAAGGCAATTCACTCCCGGAAGTGAAAACACAATAATACTTTAAAAGTAATTAGAGTAACTGCCTACATTTCTTGATTTAATGAAAACAACCAGGTGGTGGCAGGTGAGGAGGGTGCGACTGGCATCTAGTTGGCAGAATTCAAGGTTACTGCTGAAAAATCCTTCAATGCACAGGACAGACCTCCATAGAATTTTCTAGCTCGAGGCGTAAATAGTGACAAGATGGAGAAATCCTGTCCTAGTTTGCCAGTCATTTACATTTTCCTAAACAGCTCAATTTTTATTTTAGTTCTTTCTGGGTTCCTGCTTCTGGACCTACTCTCAGTTATAATTTTATTTCTTCCTTCCAGAGTTGCCCATGAGTATTTGATTTGTGAAACTTAGATTTCTTTCAAGGTCTCCTCTCCTTCATGTCCTATCTAATCCTTAGGTACACTTTTGGCTCCAGCCTCTTGATCATTCTTCTCCGTAGACTTGTGGGCTCCACAAACCTACTAGGGATAAAGTATGCATTCATTATTTCAATAAATATGTGGAAGGCATACTTCTCATACTACTCTGTTACTGAGTACATGATGGCAAAAATAAATTTCTCTGCTCACCAAGTATCCGTCTTTCAGAGAAGAGAAAATAATAAATCTAACAGCATTTTATGGGGTCTTTTAATCTCTGATAAAGCAAAGAACCCAAAAGCCAAGAACAGAAAAATAAGTACCAAATATCGCCATGTTCTATGTCTGCAGGACTTGTAAGTAAAGTGGAAATAAAACAGTTTTGGGTTTTACATGACATAAATCAATGTTATTAAAAGTTGAGATTGGAGAATCGAGGTATATACTTCTATTATTTTTGTTTATCTGGTTTTTTTTTGTACAATGCCTCATAAAAATTGCTCACTGGAAATTTCTAGAAGAGAGATCTTCCAAAAACTGAAAAAATGTAATCCATGAAAGAATAACCCAACTTTAAACAGAATACCAGAAATGCCAACTGTGCCCACCATATTGGACCATGTTCCTTTTGCCATATAGTTACAAATAAGTCAAACCTGGTTACAATGGAGATAGAGTAGTAGGGACTAGGATAGAGACAAGAAGCTGCCCCACCCTCCCCACTGCAGTCTTTCTGGGGTGAACAGATCTGAATTGAGTATGTGGAAAAACTTAATGCTACATAAGAGTTCGAGAATTGCAAACATTTTAATGGATTGAATGTTCTCTTCAGAGAGTTGGATATTCTAATAACTGTAATGATATTGTTCTTGAAACTAAAAATTCCAGGTGACTCCTTTTTTAAATTCAAACATGACCAAAAAGACCTTATATTAAAAACAAACAAAAACAACAACAGAAAACTGTTTAACTGTTCAATATATATATATAGACCTGATTTTAGTGGTGGGATGGGGGCTGGAGGAGTGTTGGTAGAGAGTTCTTTTCTATTTGGACCTTATTAATTGCAGCCATTGAAAGAATGAGGCATAAAACAAATAGTAGTAATTTTAAACAGTAAAAGATCTGGAAGAAAATAAATCAGGATGAGTTGATAGACATTGGCATAGACTCCTTTAGATGACATGGCTATAGACTTTCCTGACGAAGACACATTTGGACTTTTGGATGAATAGAGACATTATTTCTCTGATACACAAAGACCACGAAATGAAACAAAAATGCAGTGGAGTTTTTAAGACCTT